CATCTTTGTAGTGGTGCTAGGCCCTGTGAGAGTACTGGAGATTCTTTTGCAGAAATGGTGCTTGCCACTGATGTTGCTGAATTCATGACAACGATGAAGAACTTCTTGCATTCATGTTGTCATTCTTGTAGAGCACTGGAATTTTGATCTCTTTTCCCGTGCAAACACGATGGCTGCACGTCGTGCTTTAACCCCAACTGAGATCTAAGCACCACGCAGCTGCTCTCTCACTTGTCCCCACCATGGTGGGATGCGGAGGAGAATCGGAGATGCGGAGGTAAAACTCATGGGTTGAGATAAGAACAGTTGACGAGTTGAAATAAGATATAATAATGAATATAATTGTAATGAAAAGGAAGATGTAAAAAAGAGCGATAAAACCCAAGAAAGATAAGTGATGCCCAGTGCAGTTGCTCACTGCTTGCTGAGCGATGCCCAGCCAGTCCCTGAGCAGCAATCCACCCCTCCCAGCCAGCTCCCCCCAGTTTATGTACTGGGCAAGATGCTCTATGGTACAGAATATCCCTTTGGCTGGCTCAGACCAGCTGTCCCGGCCGTGCTCCCTCCCCAGCTTCTCATGCAACTGCTCACTGGCAGAGCGTGGGAAACCGAAAAGTCCTTGACTTCGGATAAGCAGTGCTTAACACACTGATGTTGTAGTTGTTACCAACATTGTTCTCACACTAAATCCAAAACACAGCACTGTACCAGGTCCTAGGAAGAAAGTTAACTCTGTCCTACCTGAAACCAAGACATTGCCAGATAGATCCGTGCTTCAGAAGTTGTCCAGATGAGATCCTGAAACGTGACTATTGGTCTTGTCCAAAGCTTAGGGCTGTACTCTTGTGCTTGGGACTGGTGGAAACTTGCGGTAAAAAGCCACAGACGTACTACTCTTAAGCCTGACAGTCCCTTCCAGTCTTCAGATCCTTCTTTATCCCTGTTGCTGGTTTCTGACCCCCTTTCCTCCTCCCGGGTGCGCAGGCACAGAGCACCCTGTCGGGTGGCTGCGCTATCACACGTCTCCCTCTCCCGGCCTCCTGCTCCCTCCCGGGAGGGACGCACTGCCAGGCCTGGGGCTCCGGGCTGTAACACGGATCTGAGTGCTACGCGGCACGGGGTAGGGTGCAAGAATCTGTTGAGCAGATTGGATTGTTGCAGTTTTAAGATACCATTTTTGTTTGTTCACAGAAGAGGCAATTAAAATACAGTTCTGATTACAGGGCAGAGATCCCTCATGTTGTTTTGTAATATGTTGCATGTAGACTGTTTCGTGTTGGTTGACAGCATGATGCCTTGGTTTCTATTTTTATAGCTAATATTACTGCTATTTGAGACTGATACCACTTTAAGGGCAAGAACCAGCCAACTTCATTGCGATCGTGTTATGATCTAAAATCAGGCCTTGCTTTAAATTATTGTTATACCAGTTTCACAACTGGGTATTCCTGGGCTTGCTGAAATACCGTAGTGCTGCCCAAGTTGCTGAGCTTGGCTACTACTTTAATTTTCTTAATGAAAAGACAACTGCTACAATTTGTTTCCAAGTGAGAATCTGCCCAAGTGGCAATTGGGTTTGTTTGCTGGTGTGGGTTTGGTTTTTTATGTTTTTTTTCCTTTTTTTTTTTTTTGTTCTTTTATAAGATGTACTTCTACAAGCTTGTTAAATACAGGAAAATGAGTGAAAAAGCCTATACACTGCTTATAATTACACAACGTTGATTTTAATAACTTTTTACATCTTGTTGCTTACTGAAACTTACCTGACTGTTGGAAGATTACATACAAATCTGAGTTTTCTAAGAAAGCAAGCACTTCCTTCGTTATTTCTAGGGACAACTTGATGTTTTTAAAGTAAGAAATGTATCTTTTGTTTGTTAAATATGTTTGAGGATAGTGTAGGGA